CGAGGAACTCTCTTCTCTTTCCCCGACAGCGCCACGGTATCTTTAACGTCCACCTGAACAGGGTGGGAGCTTTAATGTCTCATTTGAAGGACTGTGTCTCTGACAATGCCGCACTCCCCCCAGCACTGCACTGGAGGGTCAGCCTGGACTGTGAGCTCAGTTCCTGATGAAGGGCTCAAACCCACAAACCCCCTGACAGTGTGAGTGAGTGAGTGAGCCGGGCTGAGAGCTGATAAACTCCACTCTGTTGATTCCGCCCCCGTGTGGCCTGTTCCACATGACAGTCAGGTCCTCGCTCAACACGTTACACCAGTCTATCAGGAACACACACGCCAGCAGCACACACAAGATGTGCGAGATAATGCATGTGAATGCAAATGCATGTGTGTGCACGTGCACTGTGGCGTGTATTGAGAATGGGCTCAGTGAGTTCCTGATCATGTTCAAACCCTGAACTCCCTCAACAGACTGACCGGATTCCTCAGAAAACAGGTCTCCTCGCTCCGCACCCCAGCCTGTAACCCCCGCCACACCTCGACCTGGCTCCCCATCTCCAACCCATCCTGTCTCCCCCTCACGGCCTATTTCCCCTCCCACCTATCTCTCCCACAGCGCCCACCGCCACCACTTGCCTCCCCCTCCTCCCCAACTGGGCTGTCTCCTCCCTGCCGACTTGTGATCTGCTCTGCGCGGTCTCCAGCTCTTTATTCTCCAGATTTACAATTACCAAACTGATATTTTATTCCAAGGGAGAATTTTTTGTAAATCCTTTCTACGGTCCACTGGTTCCAATTAATTAGATGCCTTTTCACACTCCCTCTACACTGTGCATCCACACTCCCAGGTCAGGGTTAGAGACACAGTAAAGCTCCTCTACACTGTGCGTCCACACTCCCAGGTCAGGGTTAGAGACACAGTAACGCTCCTCTACACTGTGCGTCCACACTCCCAGGTCAGGGTTAGAGACACAGTAACGCTCCCTCTACACTGTGTGTCCACACTCCCAGGTCAGGGTTAGAGACACAGTAAAGCTCCTCTACACTGTGTGTCCACACTCCCAGGTCAGGGTTAGAGACACAGTAAAGCTCCTCTACACTGTGTGTCCACACTCCCAGGTCAGGGTTAGAGACACAGTAACGCTCCCTCTACACTGTCCGTCCACACTCCCAGGTCAGGGTTAGAGACACAGTAAAGCTCCCTCTACACTGTGTGTCCGTCCACACTCCCAGGTCAGGGTTAGAGACGCAGTAAAGCTCCTCTACACTGTCCTCAAAATGTTTCGCCCATAAAATACAGTCAATCCACTTAACAATATATTATTTTATTACTGATATTATAATGTTATTATTATATTTTTGTTATTATATAATTTACAATTATATTATTGTTGATATCAATATTTATATAATGTATATTATTATATTATTAATAATCCTTTAGCGGCTTATCACATCAAGGAGATGTCTCAAAGTGCTTCAAAAAATATATTGTAAAGTGAATTGACTGTATATTGTGGTCAAAACGTGTCAGCCAATTGCACACAATTGTGGTGTCCCACAAACAGTCGGGATCGAGTGATCACATTATTTTTATGAGGGGATTATTACCCCCGGAAAAGCGAACTACCAATCGACTAACAACCGGATTCCTACTCACTGCCAGGTTAACAGAGGCGCGCAGAGCAAGGAAAGTCGCCTAAGGTTTCGCCTCACCCGGGAATCTAAACGAGGTTCTCTCACTTGCGCAGTGAATGCTCTAACTCGTTAGCTACAGGACTCCACTGCTGATATGATATATTTGATAATATTATTATATATTATTAGCCATAGATGGTCTCAGGCTGCGGCGTATAACGCTCACTCACTACTGGCCAGTGCATGCAGGCGTACAGCTCTGACACACACACATACAGCTTTGACATGCTCAGACTACAGCTCTGACACGCTCACACTCGTGCTCACACTGCTCTCACACTCTCACACACACAGCTCTCGCGCACACAGACACACGCAGCTATCGCGCACACACGCACACAGCTCTCCCGCACGTGCACACACAGCTCTCGCGAACATACACACGTGTGGCTCTCACACACACACACACACACACAAAGCTCTCGCACACACAGCTCTCGCACACACACAGCTCTCGCGCACACACACAGTTCTCCCACACACACACAACTCTCACACATACACAGCTGTCCCGCACATGCACACACAGCTCTCGCGAACATACACACAGCTCTTGCACACACAGCTCTCGCACACACACACAGCTCTCGCGCACACAGCTCTCACACACACACACAACTCTCACACACACAGCTCACACACACACACTCAGCTCTCTCACTCACACACACAGCTCTCACATACACACACAACTCTCACACACACAGCTCTCACACACACACAGCTCTCTCTCACACACAGCTCTCTCTCACACACAGCTCTCTCTCACACACAGCTCTCTCTCACACACACACAGCTCTCACACGCACACACATAGTTCTCACGCGCGCACACACAGCTCTCGCACACACACAGAGCTCGCACACACACAGAGCTCACACACACACAGAGCTCACACATACTCAGCTCTCACTCACACACACAGCTCTCGCACACACACACACAGCTCTCGCCCACACACACACACACAACTCTCACACACACAGAGCTCTCACACACACAGCTCTCTCACACACACAGCTCACCCACACACACTCAGCTCACACACTCAGCTCACACACACACTCAGCTCACACACACACTCAGCTCACACACACACTCAGCTCACACACACACTCAGCTCACACACAACAACAACTTGGATTTATATAGCGCCCTCCACACCGAACAGTGTCTCAGAGCGCACACAGCTCTCACACACTCTCACAGATCTCACGCACAGAGCTCTGACACACACACAGCTCTGACACGCACACCGTTCTCACGCACACACCGCTCACACACACATATGACACACTCACACACACAGCTGACACCCTCTCACACACTCACAAAGATCTGACACTCGCACAGAGCTCACTAATTGGCCGAGTACTGCATTATTCAGCTCCAGCCCTGCACTGTGTGAGCAATGAAGCAAATCCACAGCCTCTCACACCCAACCCTGCGCTCCCACAGCATCGCTCTCTCCCTCTCTCTCTCTTTCACTCACTCTCTGTCTGTCCCTCTCTCAGTGTCTCTTTCACTCTATAATAATAATCCTTACATTTTATAGAGCGCCTTATCACGTCTTCGAGACGTCTCAAAGTGCTTCACTGTAAAGTGGATTGACTGCACATTTTGTGGGTGAAACTCGGCAGCCAATTACGCACAACAGTGTCCCACAAACAGCTTTGGGTTGAGTGACCAAATTATTTAATTATTTCTTTTAAAAAAGATTTTTTAAAGGGATTATTCCACTGGAAAAGTGATCCGCCAATCAACCAATAACCAGGTTCCTACTTACTGCTGGGTAAACAGGCGTGTGGAGTAAGGAAACTTGCCTAAGGTTTCGCTCTGCCCGGGAATCAAACCCGAGTCCTCTGGCTTGTGAGGCGAGTGCTCTCACCACTACACTGCAGGACTCCACATATAACCACTCGAGTAACAAACGGTGTCACTCCCGATCGAGCAGACACGAGACTCTGCACATCCGGCCAGAACCGGAAAACGTCACAGATCGTCCGCAGCCCACCTCTGCCACTCGCTCTCCCCTCTGAGTCAGGAGGTTGTGGGTTCGAGCAACCCCACATCGCAGACTCTGAGCTCACAGACCAGGCTGACGCTCCAGTGCAATGCTGGGGGAGAGACCTCTGTCCTGTCAGATACCATCCGCATTAAACTGCTAAAATCAGCTCCCATCTGTGCCCTGCTCAGGCGGACATTAAAGATCATGGCTGTTTGTGGGTCCTCGGGTTAGTGCACAATAGCCCTGAGTTTACCCGGTTTATACACAGCGTGTTATACCCACAGTTTACACATGGTGTGGTATAGACACAATGTGTTAAAGACCTCAGTTACCAGTACAATAACCCTCCGTCGACTTCAAAATATTTTCCAGTAAAACTGAGTGTTTCACACATGCCCAGGACACAAGACACATAATGACACGCCCAGAACACGGGATACACAACAACACGCCGGGAACATGGGACACGCAACGACACGTCGGGAACATGGGACATGCAACGACACGTCGGGAACATGGGGCGCATAACACAACGAGAACATGTAGCAACACATAAAGAACACAGTGCACGCAACGACACGCCCAGGGTCAGCCTGGACTGTGAGCTCAGAGACCCCGAGGGGAGGTTGGGGGTGAGAGTGAGCGGTGCTCCCATTAACCCTGACACCTGTGACCAAGTACCACTCTCTGACATCACACGGACTGCCACCCCGTCCCTCCCTCTCAGCCCCCCCATCCCTCCCTCTCAGCCCCCCCCCACTCTCAGCCCCTCCCTCCCTCTCAGCCCCTCCCTCCCTCCCTCAGCCCCTCCCTCCCAGCCCCTCCCTCCCTCTCAGCCCCTCCCTCCCTCTCAGCCCCTCCCTCCCTCTCAGCCCTTCCCTCCCTCTCAGCCCCTCCCTCCCTCTCAGCCCCTCCCTCCCTCCCTCTCAGCCCCTCCCTCCCTCTCTCTCAGCCCCTCCCTCCCTCCCTCGGCTGAGCGAGAAGGGAGATGACAGTAGAGGCAATGGCTTTGGTCCATTATTATTCGCACATTAATATTCTGCAAGACAGCTGCTGGGGACAGTCACACCTCTGTCAGGGCGGGTTGGGTTGGGTTGGGGGGGGGGGGGTGGAGATAGGGGGGTTCCCCAGCCATCACACCCCCAAACAAGCAACAGGCAGGGAGGAAAGCAACAGGAGGGAGAGGGAGGCAGGGAGGGAGGGAGGGCAAGGGGCTGTTAGAGGATGCCAGGCAGGAGTGGCAATAGGAGGGGTGCTCTCTCTCTGCACCAAATGCCAGAGATCCGGTAGACACTGACCGTCTGCTGGAGATCAGGGATGCCCACACGGATGACGATGGTGCTGGGGGCCGGGTTGTCCATGTGGCTGCTGCCGCTGCCGCTGCTCTGATCCCGGCTGCTCTCCCAGCTCTCCCCGCCGCCGACACTGCATCGCCAGCCGCCGCTCGCACTCACAGGCATGCTCCATACACTTGCCAGCCAGCCCGGCTCACAGCACTGTCACTGGGGGAGACACGAGAGACAGTCCAGCATGTGCACAGCCCCCTCCCTCCCTCTCACACCACACCGTGCAGAGCACACACCCTCACACACACACCCTCACACACACACACACCCTCACACACACACACACCCTCACACACACACACACACACCCTCACACACACACACACACACCCTCACACACACACACACCCTCACACACACACACACACACACACCCTCACACACACACACACACACCCTCACACACACACACACCCTCACACACACCCTCTCACACACACACACACACCCTCACACACACACACACCCTCACACACACACACACACACACACCCTCACACACCCACCCACCCTCACACACACACACACAGTGCAGAACACCCACCCACCCTCACACACACACAGTGCAGAGCACCCACCCACCCTCACCCACCCTCACACACACACACACAGTGCAGAGCACCCACCCACCCTCACCCACCCTCACACACACACACACAGTGCAGAGCACCCACCCACCCTCACCCTCACACACACACACACCCACCCTCACACACACTGAGCAGAGCAGATCTCTCTCACACACACACAGACTCAGCCCAGCATGTGTACAGCCTCTCCGCTCTCTCATACAGAGTCCAGCATACATACAGGTCTCTGCCACACACACTATGGTGCTCCCTCTCTCTCTCACATACACACTACTGTGCTTACTCTCTCTCTCTCTCTTACACACACACACAGCAGAGATCTCCTTCACACACTCACACAGTAGAGCTCTTCCTCACACACTCTGGATCGCTCTCTCTCTCCCTCTCACACACACACAGAGCAGAGTAGATCTCACATACACACAGTAAAGAGAGCCCTCGCTCTCCCTCACACACACACACTGAGCTAACACAGCCCTCCTCAATAATACAGTGACTGGCTGTGCTGCTGGCCTCGGGTTTCCTGCTCATTCACCTGCTGCACTGCAGAAAGCATTCACTGCTAACAGGGAACATATACACACGCTGTCTAGCTCTTAGAGAGGGGGAGTGTGTGTGTGAGAGAGTACAAACAGGTAATGGTCATTCAGTGTGTAAAACAGAGAAAGAGAGAGTGGATGTGTGTGTGCATTATTTGTGTATGATAATCCTTACATTTGATATAGCGCCTCTCATGTATTCAAGATGTCTCAAAGTGCTTCACAAAATACACAGTAAAGTGAATTGACTATACTTTGTGGGGTAAATGTGGCAGCCAATTGCACAATGTCCCACAACCAGTCGTGGGTTGAATCACCAAATTATCATTATTTTTTTGAAGGGGTTATTGTCCCAGAAAGTGATCCGCCAATCGACTAACAACTGGGTTCCTACTTACTGCTTGGTAAACAGAGGCATGTTTCGTAAGGAAACTTGCCCAACATTTTGCCCCGCCCGGGAATCAAACCCAGGTCCTCTCGTTTGCAAGGCAGTGCTCTTTGCTTGTTGGGCAGAGAAAGCTGCCCGACAGTAACCACAAAATTACTGGACTCTACCTGTACGTGTGAGAGAGACAGTGTGTGTGATCAGTGTGTAAAATAGAGAATATGTGTGAGAGACAGTGTGTGTGTGTGTCAGAGTACAAACAGGGCAGTAGTGTAAAATATATTGAGTGAATGTGCGACAGAGACAGGAACAGGGAGATCTATGTGTGTGTAACACGGAGAGAGTAACCATTACAAGAGTGGGGATGTCAGTCATCACTAGAGAGCAGGGAATGGGGTTAGAATAAAGAGCTCCAATGGTGAGTGAGCACCAACACAGACACGATGGGGAGAGAGAGAGCAGGGAATGGGGTTAGAGTATATTTTTAAAACAGTCGGGGGGAAACCAATCACCTTTCTTAAAGTTTATCCAAACTGCGCATTTCATGCAACCTACCTACAGATGGAAATTCCAGAGATATTTGTTGGAATGGAACCCGTCTCTCCCTGGAGGGACGCATCCTGTTTACCTAAACCAGTGAGTGAGTATCAGGTGCCGGTTGGCAAGAACCAAGGCTTGGGGACATTGAGAGCACTGCCACCTCGCACATACGCACGCACCTCACAGAGTAGCTCCAGTGTATTCATCACACATGGCCTCAGACAGCACCTCCCAGGGAGCAGGGTGACCTTGGCTGTGTGTAAATATGGGTGAGAATCAGCCACACAGAGCCAGGGGGTCCGGCACACCGCCCCCCACCCCGCCTCCCCCTGGTCTGACCAGCATCGATCACTAAATCCACGTCTCACTGGGTAAATATTCACCAGTGAAACAACAGAGGAGGGCTCAGCCTACCTCGTCTGCCCAACAAAGTACAGCCGGGGGGTGGGTGTAAGGATTATTCTGTGAAGCACTTTGAGATGTCTCGAAGACATAATAAAGCGCTATATCAAATGCAAGTATTATTATTATTATTATTCTGCGAGCAAGGGAGATGGAGGAACATCAGCAGGGGCACAGCTAGTAACCAGGGGTCTGGCCAGAGGCAAACAGTGACCAGGGACGGATCTGTCCTCTGATAAATGCACCTTCACTTACCTCTGCCCTCCACCCGTCTCCATATCTCTACATTTCCTCTCTCACTCTGTCATTCCCTTTCCTCTCTCTCTCCCTTTCCCTTCTCTCATCCTGTCTCTCCCGTTCCTTTCTCGCGCAGTCGTGACAAATAGGTGATTACCACTGTCATTAGGGTTACTAATCCCGTCTACACAGAGTTCACAAACCGTTTGCTCAAGAGAGCAGAGATTGTGACAGGGAATGGAGTGGAGAGCGGACAGGTGGGGGCAGCAGCCAGCCAGTCACAGGCCAACCAGACTCTGTTTCTACCCCTGACCTGGGAGTGTAGAAAGACTGTAGTGGAAGCTTTACTGTGTCTCTAACCCTGACCTGGGAGTGTGGACGGACAATGTAGAGGGAGTTTTACTCTGTCTCTAACCCAAGCTGTTGCTGACCTGGGTGAGGTCAGTGTCTGAATTGCACCTGACGGAAAATCACGAGGTGAAAAGTCAATTTTGTCAACAAACAATTTACAGATTAATTTCAGCGTAAGCAGAACAGAGACAGGGAGGGAGGCTATGAGAGAGTGAGACTGACAGAGAGTGAGACTGTGAGACAGTGAGACGGTGAGAGAGTGAGACGGTGAGAGAGTGAGACTCAGACGGTGAGAGTGAGACGGTGAGAGAGTGAGACTGTGTGAGACTGACAGTGAGATGGTGAGAGTGAGACTGACAGAGAGTGAGAATATGTGAGGGTGAGACTGTGAGGGGGGAGACTGTGAGAGAGGGAGACTGTGAGAGAGAGAGACAGTGCGAGAGTGAGATTGAGAGAGAGTGAGTCTGAGAGAGAGTGAGACTGAGCTGGCGTAATATTAAGGGAGTTGCTGAGAGGATGCTGATATATATATACACGCTTGTTCCCCAGAGAATCAGAGTGTAACTGAGAGGCCAGGTAACACTCACTGAAACGTTATACAACTAATTGTCGGGGGCTCTGAGCTCAGTCTGGCTGACACTCCATCCCAGCTTCAGAGACACCGTCTCTCAGATCAGACCTCAAACCCAGCTCCTGTCTCTGCCTGTACAGGGGGATGTTAAAGCTCCCGCAGTGCTGTCAGGAAAGAGAAAGGAGTTTTTCTCTCTCTCTCTCTCACTCTCCCTGTGTCCTGGCCGACAATCCCCCAAATACGATCATTCACTTACTCCACGGATGTATGTAGCACTGTGTCTCCCTGCCTCCCTTTCTCATTCCCTCAGTCTCTCTCTCCTTGCTTCTCTCTCACATTCATTTCCACCTTCCGCTCTCTGTCACATTACTCTCTCCCCCACTCTCTGTCATGCTCACGCTGTCACATTCTCACTCTCTCCCCCCTCTCTGACATTCTGTCCCAAATCGAGGGGATAAGTTCAGACACCTCTGCCCCATCCACCACCACCCCCACATCACCTCTCTCAATGACCCACCCCCCACCCATCCCCCCTATACTCTTTTGACCCTATCTCTCCCTCATTGCCATCGTTCACAAACTCAAACCCACCACCTGGTCCCTCGATCCCATCCCCACCTCTCCTCATCTCCCAGCTCCACCTTCTGGCGCCTCTATTGTCCGTTGTCATCAACCTCTTCTTGTCCACCGGTTCAGTTCTCACCCCCCTAAAAATAGCCGTCATCATCCCCATCCTGAAAAAACCTTCCCTGGACCCATCCCTCCTCTCCGGCTACCGCCCCATCTCTAACCTCCCATTCCTCTCCAAGGTCCTGGAACGAGTTGTCGCGTCCCAGCTCCGCTCCTTTCTTTCTCTCCATTCCCTCTTTGATCCCCTCCAATCCGGCTTCCGCGCTGCCCACAGCTTGGAAACAGCTCTGGTCACAGTCACTAATGACATTCTGAACATCTGTGATCAGGGCTCCCTCTGCCTCCTTGACTTCCTCGACCTCTCTGCTGCCTTCGACACTGTCGACCACTCCATCCTTATACACCGCCTCTCCTCTTTACTTAACCTTTGCGGACCTGCCTTTGCCTGGTTCAATTCCTATCTCTCTCACCGTCTCCACTTTGTTGCCTCTAACGGTTTCTCCTCCAGGCCCCGCACTGTCATGTCTGGCGTCCCGCCCCACCCTCAACTCCAGGGCCACTGCTGTCCTGACAGACTGCCTGTCTGCCCCCACCCTCAACTCCAGACCCACTGCTGTCCTGACAGACTGCTGTCGTACATCAAGTCCTGGATGAGGGCAAACTTCCTACAGTTGAATGTGAACAAGACTGAGGCCCTCCTGATTGGCTCGTGCCAGCGGCTCCGCACCTCAGGCTCCGGCAGCATCAACCTCCATGGTTGCACACTTCAACTGACCAAGCCAGTCAGGAACCTGGGGGTCTTTTCTTCCCCACATTCAAGCCATGACCCGCTCTGCCTTCCCTCACCTCCGTAACATTGCCTGACTTCGCCACTACCTCACCCCTCAGGCGCTGAAACTCTTGTTCATGCTTTCATCGCCTCCAGGCTCGACTATGCAAACGCCCTGCTTGTCGGC